AACTATCGATATTTCAATTCAATTCAATTCAATACCATTACCATTGGGATCCCATCCCTGCCTCATAACAGGACTTAGGCATGGTTGGTTATTGAGCATCAGTCAGTGGCCATGCTTCGTCCTGTAATTGACGGGTGGAGGATAGGCCTTACTTGCCTTTGGATGTTAAATAAATTAACAAAAAATAAGATGAAGGTCCGTTATGATGTACATTCAGTATCAGGGTCGATTGAAGTGCAAGGTTCAAAGATATTTTATCAAAATTCGTGCTTTTGCTATAGGTATGTAGGCCTATACAATATAACTGCCCGACCTGTATACGTATTAAAGATATATCAAGAGGCGAGATATCAATCTGGGTAGCTATTCTATTTCATTGGACGGAAGTAAACTGATCAATATGGCCATAAATAGGTAATAATAAGGTCCATGCCCCTTCGTTCACCCCAGCTCAGATGGACTTGAAAGGCCAGGAAACCACAGCCGCGTGTAGGCCCTACTATTATAGCCAGGTCATATATAGCTATAACATTACCTGTCCTTGGGTTTGATAATTATTTGCCACATTTCAAAACTCATCTAGCAACCTCTTTCCAGCCTCTAACAAAATTATACATTTGTTCACAAATTTGATTTGTCGTCCGAAGAATTTATATGTTTTGTTAAAATTCGGCTTTTATTTTAGAAACATCAACCTTTCGGGCTTAGGCCTAACACTTCTTCGGGCACAACATTCTTAATCCGTCGGGCTGAATATTTATCAACCTGAATTTTTCGAATAAAGATTGAAAGAACAGTGAATCAATAACTAAACCTCAGTAAATCGTCTCGTATTACATAAACATTCTCCTGTCAATAGTGAACAGGTGAGGATGGGCCTAGGACTGTAGGACAAACGGAAGCTATCGGCGGCTAATAGCTCCAAAGGGCCGTCAGTGCTTAGCTTAGGATTATGATTTTAGCTTATTCATATCGACTAAGAATCAACTTCATCTAACATTGGAATACATATCACAGAAAATGTATAATTAATGTTTTAGATAAATACTGACAATAGGCCTATGTATGACTACAGCAACGACGCCTACTAGTTGAACCTAAGCTAGGTCTACATTATAGAAATGTAATTTTCCATATTATTTATTTATATCATAATTGTTTTTTTTTAATTATTATTTTATTCTTTCTTATCTTATTAATTATTTAATTTTAATTAACTGATCCAGTGACTGCCATAACCGTCACCAGTAACATGCCCGCAGCCCCAGAAACATACAAGAAATTACAATAAGATAATGTATTGCAGATTAATTACATAAATGATAGCAAACATGCAATTTCAATATAAACATATTTCAAAATATAACATTTTTTTTTATTAAAATAAAAATGAAAAGTGATTTGTTTGATATGTGCCTGAGTGGAAACGTATTTGATCAATTAAACAATTACATTTTTTAATTGAATTTGACATCAAATTTACCGCAAACGGCATATCTGTAATTTAGACTATTAAACTGTTAACAAATCCCGTTGAAATACGCGCATAAGGATATACAGTGACAAAATTATATTATCTGTCTATCGGAAGGTAAAAAAACATTTTAATGATATAAAATTCGCCAAATTAAGTAAGAGTCGAGGTTGTACAAATTAATATGCGCTATATATATTCATATACATGTAGACGCATAATGATTTTCTTTCACACCTACGGGCATTCTTATTGCGTGGGTTTGTTGGAACCTTAGAAAACGCAGTGGTTTTGCAATTGTTCACATATTAAAATTAGAACATTCGTTCGAATAAGGAACGTAAAATCGTATTAGAAACAGACCCATGAAACTTTTATATTTTATAAAATGAATAAGATGTGTAATGGACATTGTTAGCCGGGCTTATATTACCGGTATGATGTTCGTTAATTTGAAATAAAAAGTTTGACGATGTCAGACTTGCATCATAATAAATTTCCCCATTATATTATATTAATTTTATCGTTAGAGTTAGGCTATTCCAAATCCTTCTAAAATACTTCTGACCGCTACCTTTTATAGTAGTTTCGCTTTAGAGTATACTATTATCGTATGTTCGAAAAGGGGATAAACACATTGGTTAAATGTCGATCACTATAATGTTACGTAGCATGTGGTATAGCGCCCTCACTCGACGGTTGAAGTACTGTACACACAACGATTAAGCATGATCATCGAATTCCAGGAAATATTCAACTTCATTTCATAGAATAAACTAATAATTAATTATTAAAATAAGTAATGATACTCATGTGAAGCACTTTCAGAGTACAAAGATAACTGTAAATGTTGGTAAAGTTTTGAATAGTCCATTCAAAGTACAGAAAATACAAATAAGATGACAGAATTTTAGATACTGTATATGGAATGCTTTTATACAGTTTTCGTATTGAATCAGTGGCATTCGGATGCTATGTTTTTAATCGCTGTTGTATCAGCTAAATTGCGACACCAATATAGGGCCTATTAATACAATACACGCACCATACTGAAAAATGACAATCATTCATTTCATATAAAGTCGTTCACTATGAACTAGTTCAATAAAGTGTGTTTGACTGCAAAGTGCTGCCCACCTTGTCTTTTTCATTTCTATTTACACTACACGGTTATTTAGACTTATAAGGCTACACTGTACACAATGGTACAAGTCGTAAAATATTTAAATTGTTTGGTAAACTATTTTATGTATTTATCAACAATTCATGTTTTTATTGATTTATTAAGGAAAATTTCGTTGATGCAGAGCGCATCGTGAACCGCAATGTGATATGCCGAAGGTAGGCCTAGTAATACATTTCATTTCATTTAATTTATTTCGTCACAGAACAGAAAACAAAACATACAGAAATAACAATACCAAAAAATCAGAGACAGGATAAACAAAAAGCAAACTAAATTGCTGTATAAAGTTTCTCCACGGATTTAAGGATACATAAAATATATAAATAAATCTCTGATCTCTGGAAGTAAAAGCGATTAAAAACGGCAAGTCACAGCCCAGCGCAGAACAGCGCAGCACGCAAGAAACAATATACTGTTACTCTCACGGAACCACTAGAAAAAAACACTTGGATATTCCCAGAAACTCCATGAGAATAACAATAAATGATACCAGCAAACAGCGACAGCAAAATAAGTATCAGCGACGGCAGTAGCGCAGAAAAATGAGAGATTTAAAATTATTAAAAATCAAGATTGTGTTAGCCGCTGCATTGCGTATTGTCCGAAAAACGTAATACTTCGTTACCCTGTTCAAAATGTACATTGTAGAAAATATTTAACATTTAAATAGATACATCTTCATATTCTCTCATTGCATACCGTACGCAATAGCAACTCATGAGGCAATTCCAAAATACCACCTACTGTACCGTAGGTCTGTATCGATTGATAATGGGATTTCAAATGTACGTTAAAGTTCGGATGATCTAGGCATCTATGCAAATTTTGTTCTAGTTTTTTTCTATTAAACACTACTAAGAATGTTTAAAAAAGTAATTTAGTATCTATAACTTAAATTTGTTCTATAGTAATTACTTCCATTATTGATTCTATTAGACCCAGGCCTATATAATATATATATAATATTGTAAAATTTGTAAAGTTCTTCACAATATTTCTTATAGTTTTGTTATGTTCGTTATTGCTTCGCTTTTATTTACATTTTTTTTATTAATGATTTTGTTATTGTGGGATTCGAAATAAAATAAAAAATAACAGTAGGCCTATTCTATAACATTTTATAAATGTTATCATATCATAGGCTAATTATGTACTATACATACATTTATATGTTTTGGCCAACTTTTCTCACAATCTCAGGTTCCTCTTCTGTAAAGTTCAAAATATAATATTACAGTACTAACAAAAGACGGTTTAGAGTTTATCTCGATGTACTATGA